CCTATTTTTTACTTGTATGGCTGAAATGGCTGCCATGTAAAGTTCAATAAATGTGAGATCCGACACTATTCTACGACTATGACGATATTGTTTCTTAGGTTAAATATTAAAGGAGACTCTATAAGGAGGATATGCGATCCGTGGCCTTTTATGTAGCCCCAGTATGGGCAGAGGTCCTGAGAGCCAGTAACGTCTCACTATTGCGACGACTGTAGCGAGTGCTGGCTATCAGGGTCATAAGGGGGTACCGCACGATCTCTTTTGAGGCGTCGAGGCTCCTGGCTGCGTTCTGGGCTTTGGAGGCGACAGACCTTTCGGCTCTCTATCAGTGCCGCAAGGAGGCGCGGGAGTTAGGTCGGAGCCTTGAGACTCAAGAATTCGAGGACCAGAAATCCCAACTCCGTTAGGACCTCCTGGAGGAGGGGAAGGAACGAATAGGCGACCAAGTGCTGGGCACGCTTTTATTGTGGCGGTAAGTAATGGAGGTTTGGCTTGAGACGCAACCCGGGACCCCGCACATACCGTCTGACGCAGGTGATCACCGGGAAAGGATGCTTCGGAGATCAACTGTGCCCGTACCACCACTGCGATGGCCGGACCGTGGATACGGCGCTCCACTCGTCGGCAGAATGCCCGCCGTGGGTGGAGCAGAGGCGTGACTCCGTGGCGGCCATCAGAGTGGGAATTCTCTCACTCGTTAACATGATTGCACCAAAGGTATGGAGCGAGTGCACGACGAACTCCGCCGTCTCAAGTTTTGCTTGCTAAGAAGGTGGAGCGGGACCGGGACAGGTTTAGAATTCTCCCGGTTTGGCAGGCCCAGGAACGGGCCAGGTACCGCAGACAACTCAGGCGCTGGAGGTCACAGAATGACCTACGTTTGTTCTCCGGCTGCTGGTACTCGAGACGGCGTGCGCTTTTTAGTCGGATCAAGTCCGACACAACCAATCCACTGGTGGGTGGTATCCGAGGAGATTTCCGCACAGAAAATAAAAAGAAAGTTTAAATATCAAAAAGAAATATTTCTTTAAATATAGGTTTTCTTCCTAATACATGCACAAAAAATTTAATTGCTATGCTTTAAACGTTTGAATAGTATCTTGTCTCAAACTCATATGGCATACTTGATTGGAACGTAAACATATATATGGCAAATTGTCACATATTGATATTCAAATATGAATTTGAATCGTAGTAATTAGCCAAGGTAGCCCAAGAGTACATGTGTCGGTTACCGCGGCTCGTGTGTTTCGCATACTGATGACTGCGATCATGGTTTGAATATTGCTTGTGCGCATTCCTTCGTCGAACGCCGCCCACAAACCGCCTTTTGAACCACTATCATGAGGCACAACGTATGGTCCGCTACTTGTAATACTAGATAATTTATCTGTTAACTAGCCCAAGTCGTTTATCTCATTGAAGTTCTTTAAGTACGCTTGTGTTACTACTATCAAAGTACCGGTTTGTATAATTAATATATGTTAATAGTTGTAACTTTTTTTTTGGCCAAAAGCGATGCCTTTAATTAAAAGTATATACTTAGTGCTGTTAAACACTCATAAAGTTATACTTATTTAAATATTAACTCCTGATTTCGACAAGCGCGTCTGTAGTTTTAGCTTTACATCAATTGAGATAAATAACTTGAGTGCGGTGTTATACATTATTAATTTAAAGCAAGAACCACGTTCCTACACACGACGCTGGGTACTTGTGCTCCAAATTAAGTAAGACAAGACGCAATTATGTAATTCTTTAAATAATTGCACATAGAGTATTACATACGGTTTCGCACTAAACTTTTGAGAAATGCATCAAGCTTGTCACAGATCCAGTTCTCCCACGTTCAGTCGAGGCACTCAGCGGCAACGTTGTACGATGTCACTCCACCACCAGGGTTAACGAACTGATCCAACATACAGAGATCATTGTCAATTTTGTAATCTTCTATTATTGTACGACACACTTACCATGCGATATCTGTACATGCTTTCGCTACTAACTGTGAGTGACATTGACGATAAATGATAAAGTACTTAGACCATCCGTTTTAACTCAGTAGATCTCCAATTCGCTAAGTGAAGCTAATGGATTGTTGTACCTATAAGTATTATTAAAATATGTTTTTTAAATGCCTATGATAAAATGTTAAAATTGTTTTTCTTATGACGTTAAAGTTAATAAATTGTAATTGAAATTCTGTTAACAGTACCTTCTAGGCAACGGTACATTTGTAGTATATGGTAGAAAGTATGGTGTTTGTCTGTATAATATCTATACCTCAATCAACTCTCGAAATTTAGATATACATGGTTTGGTGCCGTTAGGAAATTTATGGTGGCCACGAATTACGACGAAAAACAGGCTGCGTAGCCGTTGCGTTCGTAACCCATATCTAAATTTCCTTTCGTACGGTAGCTACCTAAAGCTTCTAGACCAAACCAATTTAGTAGCTCTGTATGGTGAGGATCGATGTAGTGTATTTGTAGTAATTGGGTCGATACAATCTTGTGTTATTCTATATTAATTCGCGAGGAGAACGTATACTAATAATATTCTTTGTATAAAGCTAAAGTTATTAAACAATGTACGTTACGTAATATATATATATATATATGTTAAGCAGCTAAAAAGCCATGCAGGGTCAGTACATACTAGTGATGTGCCGGATATCCGTATCCGTATCCGTATCCGCGGATATCCAAGGGAGAAGAGAGATCCGTAACCGTATCCGTATCCGTGACTTTTTTGGCGGATCTTTCAATACATATTACATAGATGAAATTCTATATAGGTGATTTTGTATTCACTGTAAAACTCTTAGGTATGTGTTTGTAACACTATAAACAGCAACTTTTTTTCTGGCCAACGTCAAAAAAAAAAAAAAAAAATGGTCCTCCATTCAAATGACCAATCAAATGTTGTTAGTTTGTATGGAGAAAAAAAATTTTTTCTTTCGTTTTCGGTGTTAGTCCAGAAGAAAAGTTGTTGTTTATAATGTTACTAATATGCACTTCAGAGATTTTCAGTAAATTTAAAATAACCCTGAATAATGGTTATTAGGTAGATATGAAAAACTATTGAATTCTGTTCAGATTACTTTTTATTTCTTAAAACAAATATTTGGCACCTTCGTATTGCAATCATTTATCGTACTACACTAAATCAACTAGGCAGGTCGTAGGTACTGAAAGAGCTATCTTTATAATGAGATCAATCAAAGATCTTTGTATTAGCTTATTAAAATAATGAAATATTTAAATATCAACGGCAAAGCGTCAAGTGGCGACAACTATCAAGGTCACGGGCTCCGATTGAGTAAGAAACTTAAGATCCGTATCCGTATATCTTGACACCAAATATCCGTATTCGGATCCGTATCCGCGGATATACTTTGTTAACGATCCGGCACATCACTAGTACATACCTACATAGTTGACCTGTCATGATTCCTATCATGGGAAGTCTGTGCAAAAAGGTAAATGAAATAAAAAAAACATTTAGAAATTATACATATATATAAATATTATGTATATTTATTATATAGCGATAAATATAATACAATCAAATATAGTTTATATATGATCATCAGAGGACCTTTAGTCTTAAATAATATTTCCAATGTGACTATTTATGATTATTCGTAAGGTATCATAAATTATGGTTTAAAGATAGCTAAAACCACAGTTATGGGATTTGGATTTCTAGACCATCATAAAATGTATTGTAATTTTTATTTATGTGTATTGCCCTGGCAAAAAGTATTAATATATCAAATACATATAGTGCATAGCAGAGGATATGAATATTTAATAATTTATAATATTTTTTATTTAAATATCATGAAAATATCAAGTTGAGGAATAGTTGACAGTGTTTTAAAGAGTTATTTGTTCGAACATTCTCAAAATGTTGATCGACAGTCAATTAGACACTACTTGTCATTGAAATTGTGATGCATTGCTATGCTTTCATGATTTAGAATATTATAACTTACAATGATCATTTGACAAGACCCTACATGTTTGTATAAGGACTCATCAGAAAACATTTTAAATTGGTAAAAAAATTGCGCTTTGTGAACTATGATCTGATCCATTCCACACATGATTTCTGTCAATCAAGCTTATTGTGTGCGTAATAACTTTAATATCATCTGTTTATTGCCACCGATTTTACGAACTTCATTATAAAAACGACCCCCCCCCCCCCTTCGTTTAATTTATATACAAGTTTTTAAGAAACAAATTTTTAAATATATCAATGTTTTATTTACTAGTGCTCCCAGTTAGCATTTTAGACCTTTTTATTTTATTATGTTTTGCATGTTAGCTAGAAAGAGTCATGACTAAAAATACTTCATATATCATAAACGCGTGGCTACAAAACGCTCTTTGCAGCGTAGTAGCGCTGCCACGCATTTAATTAAAGCTATTAGAGGGTCAAACATTATCACACGTCCGTTATTTGAATGTTACTATTTTACTGCTGTTGATATTAAAATGTTTCAAAAGCTGCAATAGGCTGATGGGCATGTGTCCTTATACTGTGCTTGAAGTGATAGTTGTGTCGTTGCACTCTCTTAACGTCGTCTCGTCTTGGAGAAGTCAAGGGCGACAGGGAAGTGCAATCGCGTGCGCACCGACACGCGATCAAATATTCACGACCTCTGATCAACCTCAATGGGGATGAGCAAACCTGTAACAAACTATATCCACAAAAATCTGGCTAGTTCAATAACAATAAAAGTTATTTATAATTTACTTAAAACAATGTAGCTATCGATATATTACTGGTTTTCCGCTGGGATGGCCTCCTATCGGTACTCGTTTCCTCTGGTTTTTAATAATGATTAGGTACTTTATTGTAAAACCATATAACCAATAAAATTATGATTGAATAAATTTAAAAAAAAAACAATGCAATGTAATTGTAAATAATGACTAATATTTCTAGTTTTGATAAAATAATTAATAATACATTTTCTTTGTTCACAGGATCAGTATGAAAACTTAGCCGCCCATACGCATAAAGGAATTGATTTTTTAGACAAATATGGAACCTTCGTTAAAGAAAGATGTGCTATCGAATTAGAATATGCAACGAAACTCAGGTGAATGAACTTATTAATAGTAAATCATAGAATATAATAAAGTCTGAATTACAAAGTTGTCAAATACATATTTTATGTAATTCCATAGAGATAAAAGAACATATTCTATCGTTAGTATTTGAACTAGCTTTATAAATGTGTACTTAACCGGATAATTCACATATTTTAGTCTGTTTCAAAGCTTACCTCAAGATTACAAAATTTATTAAATATTTTTTACAACATATAAATTGAAGGTAATGTGTATAAGTTGATAAATAAAGTTGAAAAAATTGATAGTAAATATTATATTTTTCATAAAAACCATACAAATGTTGTTTTTACAGTTCATATTTTCTGCAAATTGTAGTGTTATTATATTGTCAATCTAGTTTATAACATAGAATATTAATTTTAATAAATGAATAGTTTTTATTACTTTTTAATAATAGTAAACAAATAGTTTAAAATTATGGGTATATCTTTCAGGCGACTTGTCAAAAACTATCAACCAAAAAGAAAAGAGGAAGATGAATACCAGTAAGTAACATTGCATTATTTTGTAAATACGTATCTTTATTCTAAGTACTTTGTAGGTACCAAATCATCACTACATGTTATAAAATAGTCCCTTGCGTCTGGCTGTCTGTTCGCAATAAAATCTGAAAGTACTAAACAGTTTTTAATGCGGTTTCCACCAATAGACAGAGTGATTTATGAGGCAAGGTTTAGGTGTATAATTCATGTGAGTAGCTAGTAAACAATGATTTAAATCTTTAAATTGAAACAAATTTTTCATTAATATTCTTATGTATATTCAATCAAACTACAAATCAAACAACTTACTTACTATCGCTAACGGTGTACAGTGATGCCGAAATGCTTATTTATACTATAAAATTAGAATATTTTGCTTATGGTTTCTTAAATTAAAATATATATGTATATCGAATCTCGAGAAGAATATGTAGGTCAAAGACTCTATAAAACCTTTCAAGTTCCATGCCAAGCGTAAGCAAGTTTTTTAAATTCTGATGGCACACCATTTAAAAAAAAATATAATTCATAGTATCGATATTTATTGATAGGTACAAGCTTTTACCGAAACCTTTTTTGCCTACTCATTGTATTATGAAGGAAATAAGTATTTTGAACAATAAGGACGACTAATTGATAACTTTAGACTTTAGAGTGAGCTAATTATAAAATGCGGCAAAATCTGCTCTTGGTGTATTATTATGCACTATAGGTAATGGACAATATAGACTTCTACATATATCTACTGCGATCGAGATGATGCCTATTTCTACATTTTATCATAACACCTGCAAACTGAAAAATTTATCATTGTTAGAATGATCTTATCGCTGTTTTCTCATTATGTAAAGCTCCAGGCTTGATTGTTCGAAAGCCAAGTGCTATCGAAGGACTTGTTTTATAAGAATTGTTGTGTTTCTTACTCATCACGTAAACTCTGTGAGCAAGTATTGTATTTTTTATAAACCTATATGCAGAATCGCGTTTTAACCATGAACTAACAGCTTAATCGGTGAGGCACTTCTGCTATATATTTAGACAATATTATATATTTAGTTGTATGATTGTGCTAGGGTAAACCTATATCATTTTACAAATGCAAATGTGATCATTATGTTAAAGCAGCGGGGATATTTTATGTTCTTTATTAAATGTAACTGGTTATAAAATATTACATGAGGTATTAATGAATTAATATTGCGTTTAGTTACAAAAATATATACAACTATTTTTATTAACTTGACCTTGCATACATAAATAAATGTACGTTCTGTTTTAATGACCTACATTAAAAATGTCACTTTGCATCTAAATAAAACTATTTTCAGTCACTTTGCATCTAACTATTACGTATTTTTATAATTGACTGTTTGGTTTTAGATATACACCTTGTAAAGCATTTAAACAATTACTTCAAGAGTTGACCGATTTTGCGGGACAACGAGAGGTAGTTGCTGAAAATTTGCAGTCAAATGTAGTGAGAGAGTTGCATCTACTCGCCAAAGAGTTGCGAGAAGAAAGAAAGGTGAGAATAATTTTGTTTTACAATTAATATCTAACCGTATTATTATTTATCGGTACAAATGGACCGACTCTACCGGAGTCATGACGACGGCCTCACAGAAAACAGCTGTTAATTAATTCGTTCGATGCTTTTTACTGAGAGGGTGAGGTTATCAGAGCCCAAAACTCCCTCTCCCTATTTGGGGTAGAACTTAAAGGACGGAAACGCACTTGTGACTCTTAAGTGACTATGGGCGGTGGTAGTCACTTACCATCCGGTGATCCGTCTGCTCGTTTGCCTCTATACTATAAAAAAAGTAAATTTTGTATTGTGTGCATTTATTATTATTTATTACAGAGTTTGGTGTCTTCCATACCACAAAATCTTAAATGTTAAATTCATTTGTATTGAGGAATGTGTATATTGGCAATTAGGTGGAAAAATATCAATACCTAGAAATAAATATTTCTAGAATTGACGTTAACATTTTAGTACTTAATGTTCATACATACCTATATTACACTTCTAAATGAGCCATATGTCATATTATGGCAAATACCTTAAACACAGGGCGTTCTAAAAATAATCATGACATCAAAATACAGTTCAAAATCGAATATTAACGATTCGATTGGGCGCGGCGTTTAGTTACGTTCCTTAAATTTGTAACTCATTTGTTTTTGTTATTACAGCAACATTTGAATGAAGGTTCTAAACAAATGGGATTACTGCAGTCGTCGATAGGTTCTCTAGAGCGAGCGAGAAGAGCATACGAACGAGCAGCTCGGGAGTCAGAACGAGCTCTTGAGACCTTCCAAAAGGCAGACGCTGACCTTAATCTGAGGTGATTATCTAATAGACCACTTTACCATAATATTATCTTGGCCTACTGATTGTAACAAGTGATTAATCAGTGCATAAAATATGTAACAGACTTCGTATTTAAGGATGACATACTGGATTATATTTATTTTTGTAATATTTAAATGTGACTTTACCAACTGTATTGGACTATTCCAAACGATAGATCAACCACTAGTACCTAATTAACACAGTAATAGCACGCAGTTATTAATACTGTTAAACGCGCTATGTACACTAATAATCGTGTTACAAGTACGTGCCATTTGCTAAATTTCTAGAAAACAGAGAAACGGTGGTTTTGATGAGGAAATCCATTGAATCTCCAAAACGAGTTTAGGAACCAACTAATCTATTTTTGTATAAATAATTTTGAGACGATTTTTTTTCTTTATATTTAGGTATCCATATAAAATTATGAAAATTGTAATTATTAGTCATGAGTAAAAATTAATGTATTTTATTGAAAAATGATTAAGTATCATTGTTAGTGTTAATTGACATAATTTGTCATTCACAAGAAAATACAATCGGTAAAAATATGGCCGATTGTCCCTTTCTAGTTCTACACTTTTAATATCATATTGGTACTAAATCGTATGACGTAGATTGGATATAATAAAATCTAATATCGACCTCGTATACAATGGCTTGGCAGATATTCAGTTCTAAGTAGCGAAGACAATGCGTTATGCCATATAGGAATACAAATTGCAATGCTGTCTTAGTAAGCACTGTTTTTTTTTTTACAAATAAGTACTTATTGAAACACACGGTTTAGTCCTTTTTATTTCCCTCTTATATCTTTGAATTAATTCTTATCAGTTTCCTCTACATTATGCATTTCACGAATAGTTTGTATCTAAAAGTAATTGTGTATAGAAATTATAACACTATTACAATATGAATGCTATTAGCTCATCTGGCACTGTCGTAATATTTAGTAGTAAGTCACAACAAATATGAATCCCACCATTCAGTTATGTTATAAAACAGAGATATTTATTTGCCAATTTTCTTATATAAATAAAGTTGATGGGTTTTCTGTATTTGAAAAAAAAACTTGCATTTTTAGCCCCATTCTTGAACTGCGTGCTTTAAGAGCAGCTCAGTGACTAAAAATGCACAGAAAAGTGTAGAAAAGGGCTATTAACTTAGAATAATAGATCGTTGCAATACATATAGTTTTGGTATTGCAGTCGAGCGGAGGTTGAAAAACAAAAAGCAAACATGAAAATTCGGAGTCAAGCCTGTGAGGACGCCAAAAAAGAGTATATGGAACAGTTGCGGAAAACAAATGAAGCGCAGCGACAGCACTATGAACAACGGCTGCCACATGTATTCAAACAGTTACAGGTACATTTAAAATACTTTGATAGTACAATTTTACTTTTAGAACGGAGCTGCGTTTTTTACTGTCGCTTTTATCTATAATGGTGACGTTCATTATTTGGACTTTAGCTTACCGTCAGGCAGGCTGCCGATCTGTGTTAAGGGTGAGCTAAGCTTCAGTCGGTTCAAGTCCGACATAGCCACCGGTGGGACCACCCGGATACCATCCGAGGGGATTTCCGCACAGAAAAAAAAGGTGTTCGACTATTCTTAATACTACAAAATATAAAATTTTGTTTATCATATCAGTCCTTCTTATGGAGGCCTATGTGTAACGAAAATTCTTCCTTTGACCTTACCGGCGAACAAGAAATAGGTATGGTACGCCTTGCTTTGTTTGCCAGTAATGGTCATCGAAACGAAGCATGTTTCATTGTCATTTACTGCTTAATTATGCATGAGGATGATTTAGTTATGTGCAATGATGCTCAATACATAAGTAGAGTAGAGGTGTCAATATCATTGAACTACATGCCTCGGGTATTTTATTTGGAAAAAAAAACTAGTTTTCTTGCAAATTGTGATCTTATTATGATGCAGTAAGATAAAACATGAAGTCATCATCATAAATTGTTAGCTCCTTAGCTAGCAGCTTATCACTGAGTAAAGGTTTCATATAGATTAAGTAGAATTAACCAGTACTATAAGGAGGCCATAAAAGTAGATGTATACAAGAAATATAGACCTGAAAGCAGGATAAAATACTATAATTTTTAGTGTTTAATATTTTGCAGAGTTCTTGAAATCAAAATTAATGTAATGGTATTTCTATGTTATCAAACTGCATTCATACTTTGTTTAACATTTTTCGTCGCTCAAATTTAGATTTATAGTCATATTACTTATGGGTTATCTGTGCCGCAATATACCTGTAGTATCTTCCTGAGGAGTGCTTTTTTCATGTGCTATTTTATAATCTCATGAATGACTCTTCTTTAAAAACGTAAAAGCAGTAGTACACATTTTATTCTCTAGAGACATAGACTCCTGCTCCATGTGCGCTTTATCATCAACTGCCGAACATTATTAATGTCTATGTATTCAATAACATAACACAAATTAGTAAACACCTATTGGCTATATAAATAGCATAAGTTAGATGCAAACGAACATTTAATAATTCGTCGGTTTACATATTATATCATAATCTACGACTGTGAATCTAATATTTACTGTTAACTGATTTAAATACTATACTACATAGAAAGAAATAACATAAAGCAATATGTAAGTTCACGATCTTTAAGGTTTCTATAAAATATAGTACTGTCACATTATTTACAAAAGGGGTGATGATAGTAAATGTATAAAGATATAAAACATAATTTGGTATCTCAATACAATTCGATAATGATACTGATGTATGCAAAAACATCACTATGAATATTTATGTACCGTCAATGAAAATAAATTAGGAGCCGATATGACTGTAAACTAGTATCACGGTACAATTATAATACAGTATTGTAACTCGGCCGCATGATAGAAATAAATGCCTACAGCCGCGCGGTACTTAAACATGCGTTAGGGCTGCCCGTCTCCAGCATTTTAATTATATTTGCCTACTTTCTGTTTCTATTTAGATTTGTGATTGTAAATATCCTTTTTATATAAATAAATGAAATACTTTGTATATTGAATAGGAATTGTTCCATAAAAATGCGTGTTGTTTTTTGATTGGTAGATTTAATTAAAAAACATTTTTTTGTTTGAAAAACAAATCGGGCTTATAAATTAGCGACCGAAAAAAATCCTTTTATAAAATAAAATAAATGTGCTTTCTCCATACGCGTTACAAAACTCCAACACCTACCACCTACTCAACTAGAATGCAAGAAACAGCTGACGAGTAAGTAACTTTTTATCTCAGCTAATTAACGTCTCTATAAATTAGGTACCTACCTACAACTCGCAACAACTCAAAACAAAAATTCTTTGGTCACCAATTAATTAATTATTAAAAAGCTGAACAGCTGACTACGAATGTTTTAAAATCACAACCCTCAAACATCTAAATATTATATATGAGTCTAGCTGTTGTTGTTAATACCGAGAAAATAAAACCAGTTTTTAGTGGTATATGTTGTTATAGTAGCAGCAGAAACACTTTGTGAAAATTTCGAAAACTGTCTAATGACACACAGACGGTAACAAATTTTTTTTAGTATTATTCATACACACACAGCTTTGTAATCTATATCTAAAAAGAAGTGACTGACAGACTGATTAACTGATCGATTAACGCACAGCTGAAACCGATGGGTGTAAAAGCATGAAATTTTGCACAAATGTACCTTAGGTGACGTGGGTATGCACTAAAAAAGGATTTAACCCCTGAGTGTGCAAAATGAGGGTTGGAAAATTATATGAAACTTCGTTATTTTTGGTAGTACCAAAACTCACAGTAGATATTTTTTAATAAAAGTACCTAATAAAAAACGTTACAAATTTTTCAAAACTGCCTTTTAAAATAAAGAATAAGTGTCATACACCTATTGTTTTAACTTTTATAAAAGCCAGAACGGTTTTCTGGATCTGGACGTGATTTGGCACATAAATAAATTATAGTCTAGAATAGCAGAGACGCTACTATTTATCCCGGTTAAATTTGTTGACAAAATTGACATTTACACTGGTGAAGCTCCCCGCAAAATCTATTAGTTATATGAACTATACTATCTGGGGTCGAAACGCAGTCCTATTGAAACAGTTGTGCGACCTAATTGTTACATAATTTGTTCATTTCTTTAATAAATATAATGATTTTGCAATGCCGTTTCTAAATAGTAGATAATTCTTATGTGATCATACTTTCGGGCTATGGCCGAGTATTAAAGTGGTTATCGAACTAGTTTATTGAAGAAATAAAGATCTCTAATATTGATACGGTGACTACTTCATATTAGTTAATAAATGAGGTAATAATTAGTTCTCATAACTTCTTGCTGTAGAATTTGCGTTGCGACTTGGGTTTTCTATATTTTTGATTGAAAGATTTAAAAAACCAACTTTCAAATTCCTAACCTATTAAATGAGATTCGAGTAGCATTTTTAGGCTGATTCCACAATATGATTCATTAAACTTAAAGAAACGAAATCCGACCGGGCACCCGATAAATAAATTATGTAGCTAATGACTTGCTGTCAGAAGATATATTACTATGTTCTATTCGAGTTATGTGTGGCAGTTTCTTAACAATTAATTATTTTATTTTCTTAAATTTAGAGAGAATATGTTTTGTTTTTTTTATAACAACACACTTTATTGATATTATGTTAATTTCTTAATCTAGGCTGCCAATATTACGAGATGTCCGGTTCATATGTAGTAATACTCGACGGATTAGATGTCGTAAACTTTCTCTTTCGTATTCATTAGCCATTCTGCGGATGAAGAACGCGGGAAAATCTTGTGCTAAATAGTACATGTAAAGTTTTGTGTATTTGGAGTTTGGCAGGATGCCAACTAGGTCAAGCGGGAAACTACTTAGTACTATTTTAATTTAAGATTATATAACAATAAAATGCATTCTGCTGTCTTCTTTATAGTTTGAGAGAAAAACTTAGTGTCGCAAGAATTTTTATTTTCAAAGTCGATAGATTTCATCGTTTTAAATGCAAGAGTAAAGCTCTCTCTCTCTTTTTGATGTTACTAGGTGTTTTTTCGCCAAAATGGAGAAAAATTACACACAATCTAATAAAACTTTTCTTCTAAACCACAATTTCACCCTCAATACAAATTTTGGAAAATACTATGTACGGATAAATCGTAGCATATTAAGTGCATAATTATCACTTAACTAAAGCGAATGCACCGTCTGAGCGGCTGAAATTTTGTCATAATGAATATAAATAAATTTTCTAGAAAATGTGACTAATTATGCGTAGTGTGATTCTTTGAAATAGTAGCTTGTGCTAGCTGTGACTATCTATAAAGCAATATAGATATGTATATAGTAAAGGCAGCTACGTCTTTCCATGATCTTTAGATTGTTAAGGATAAATGCACGATTCTAGCCAGGTTGGTGAATCCTGCAAAGAAAACTGTTTCAAGGGCTCCCTAAGTTGAGTTGCTTTTGATAGGTAGCCAGTAGAAGAACTTAATCAGGCGAAACTCTTCAGTGTAACTTTAGGATACTTAAAAAGTTAACAGTACAGTAGTAGAATATAGATAAGGTGTTGTAACACCAAGCAAATGTATGACAGAAAAACTGTTTTAACTCAATCATTAAAATAATAATTTTAATTTATTATTTACAGGACCTAGACGAGAAACGAATAAAAAATATAAAAAACTTTATGTTGAGTTCGGTGGACGTGGAACGAAAGGTGTTTCCGATTATAATGAAGTGTCTTGACGGTATGGAACAGGCGGCGAATAGTATTAATGAAAAAGAGGTAAGTAAAGGAGGATAGTGTTATCGGTGAGGTAATCCATATCGGCCAGAAATCGTAATACATACTTATATTTATTTACGTCACATTCTAGGCGGATTACGATATTAAGACTCAATGTGCATTTTAAGCAAATTATGACTCAAACATGTACTTGTTTAGTACACACAAACTTAATTCACTCTTATAGTCATAAAGTTACATAGGATACATTTACTTAAATAGGATTTGGTGACTATTTAAGTGCAACTTCTTCGACTGATGGATTGTAATTTGAGGGGAAATCCCTAGCCTCGTCATCCTCGTTATTTTCTTTAGAATTAAAGATGACCGTTACACACATGTCATGTCTATCTAACACAGTTGTTAGGGTTAATAAAATAATATTTATCCAACATACATTTACTATTCAGCTTAGTTGAAATTTAGTTTATTCTTCTGAGAAACATGAAACATATGATGAAGAAACATATCTGTTGGTTTGCTTTTCATTTATATTTATTAGTCTTGTTTAGACTAATTTCCTAAGTATGTCAAATTTTTGTTGATTTAACATATGTTTACTATATTCGTGACGCACTTATTTTGACGAACTATTCCTATCTCATAGTTTTAATAACAATATTATCTGTTACATTGGGGACTTGATGATAAATTATTTTTTTATGAGTCAAAACAAACTTAACACTCATTAAATACTCATCTAAGATATTTGAAAAAGTTTTTGCAAATTCAAGTGCAATTGAAGCAAGTAACTATTAAGATTTTTATTAATTAGGCAGCTGAATTTGTAAGTTTATTCATCTTTCTACACGAATTTATTAGCAGCATTATCGATCGCTAATCATCAAGTGAGTTTCGTTCTAGTTTACCACCTTAAAATTATAAATTATACACAACTGGTCCTTGTAAAATAATGTAAAAGGTCGGACATACAGAGAGACACATTCAGAACATTATTCATGCGAAATAACATTTTTTTACAGGACACTAAATTAGTAATAGACAGGTATAAATCAGGTTTCGTTCCACCCGAGGACTTCCAATTTGAGACGGCATCAGGAGGTGATACTACAGACTCTTCAACCACTCACCATCATACTCACAACCATCTTACAGCGGCCAGAGGAACAGTTTCGGGAAACAAAATCAAGAAACGAACAGGCTTACTCGCTATCTTCAGTTCTAACAAGGTGAGACACACATACATGATCTCTGCACAAGAACAGGAATATTGCTTTGGGATTATATGGTTTATGCTTTTGGAGGATCTTATTAGTGGTATTTGTAGTTTTGGTTGCAACCATTTTGGCAATTTAATCGTCAATTTTAAATTGGGTTATTACATTTCTCTGGAGCAGTAATGGATGATGCAGCATTATTTTTAAAAGCCTATTTCCTATAAGCATAAATATATTTCTTTAAAAAGGATTACAATTTATTAACCATAACTTAATATATATTCGAAAATATGAATGTTGAATTGACATTTGAAATGCTTGTGCGATGGCAGGCGATGACACATAATCATTTAAGAAAATGTTATAACCACAATAAAAGGTGGCTGCCATTTAATATACTACATGTTTCGCCACTTAAATACTTCTAAATTACCTAATTTGGTCCAGTGATACAAAAAGATTTAGTACGAGTTTAAGAATTTCGCTGCTGGCTGTGCAACAGTATCTAGTCAGAAACTTTCACAATTGCCAATAAAAATAAAGGCATCAATGCATAGAAGACGGAACACACATACTTTATAATTTATAATATTTATGATAATGTACTGACGTTTATATTTTTACTCATACTGTGATATATTTCGTATTTTCATATATACAGATTATATATATAATATAATTTATTTATATTACATCGCAGGCAACAACTTTTTATTATTAATTTTAAATAAACTTTAAAAGTTGAACAGTATATTTTTCTCTTGGCAATGGGGTCGTCCATTGGACCTATTTACCTAAATTTGTAATATTAACAGCAGATAATGTTTTACATAAGATTTTTTTTTGTATCGCTTTATGTATTACATAAATCTGCGAAATCATATTGGGCTATTTTTCTCATAAAAAACTAGTACCTACATTAAACTTAAAAAAATTATTCGATGATGTTCGAGTTCCACTCAGGACAGGACAGGAAATAATAGTGTGATGGGCACAATCGTTTGTTTTATGTCTGGGTGTAATTAATCTATATTATGTATGTATTTGGCAATAAAAAAGTTCGTTTATCAGCAGTCTGGTTACCATAGCACAGGCTCTGTCTAATTTGGCATCAGAAAGTTGTGTGAGATGTATTAATTATAATAATTATGATTTATATAGTACATGTGTTGCCTGATGCTGTATTACAATATATCATTGTAATAGTGTTTATGTAAGAACATACATTTATTTTACTTATAAAGCATTCATAAGGTTACGGGGCTGTGCTTGAATAAATGTTATGGGCTTTATATCAGCTTAATGTTATGACACTTATTTAATATAATTCGAATACATATGTGCATGGTGTAAACATTATTTTAATATTTACTTATATGTAGTAATTTTTTATTTTACTATATTCCACGATTATATTATCATTATGTTTGTTATGTTAATACGTGTAAATAAAGGGCTCATAGTCATTTTATTTAAAATATGCAATAAATATTTAAAATGAATCTGTTTACCTAAAGATTGGAAAAGGCTACAACTTATGTTTCACTAGGGATGGCCGATCTAAATCGATATTTTAGAAGATTGATTTTTTCGAAACGATCTTGACCGAAATCGGATCGTATTGTTATAGGATTAGATGAAAAAATCGAATAACAGACTTATAAAACAGCTAACCAGCAAAACTATTGCTACTGTTATGCTTCCATTTATTGAATTCTAAATACAGTATTATAATTTTACTTGAAACTAATACAAAAAAAAACTTAAAGTATGTGTTCAAATACCAAGGACATACAAGAAGCTAAGCAAATCATTTAAAACAATATGTTTTGTTTCTGACTCAATACAATTTATATTGCTGTGAAATTCTTATGTCTTGTGTGATTTAAATTGTAGTAACTAAAAAGTACATATATATTATTCACTTTGAGTAAAGATGCGATCTATTGCTCTTTAAAAGATCCATGAATTCTATTCAGATGCCCAAGTGCGAGTTTGTTTCACATCTACTCGATCGTCACGGTGAGTGATTCTCCCACACTTAAATCCTCACCAATCGCAGCACTCGCCCGTCGAGAGCGAGTTGATGTGAAACAAAATCAAACTAGGTCCTCAGATAACGAATTCAATGTATTTCAATTCAATACTATTAAAGAAGACAATCAATTCAATACTATTAAAGAAAAAGCAAGATTCGTAACAAGATATCGGACATCCTTATGCTGAACACCATTTGCCATTTTACACAACGATAAAAACTAACGATTGCGATATGGCTAATTAGAAGTCCTTTAATAGGACTTTTTTAAAGTATGTTATTCATTAATTTATTGTTCAGCACTTACGTAATTCACTGAAGTGGTACAGTGGTATAATAAGTTGAATGCCTTTCTTAAATAAAAGAAAGAGATGAAAATAAATTTTCTCGATTGCTCAATTCCGATTTTTACTGTAAATCGAAAAATTCCCTTTTGAATGACCGTTAAATTATCACGATGACTATATGCCAATTATTTTCATACCTATGTGTAAGTGGAGGTACTAATTTATTTTTATCTTTCAATTCCTGTTCGATCCCTACCTAATACGGGGTTCAATAACAACCAATTGATATTATTGGCTGACGGCGGCCGGTGGCTTGTCATGTGGAAAAAGTAAGTTGTCCGCAGTAATGGGACTGTCAATAATGCACGACTCACATCTTTCACAGCTCTCTTGGCTTCAGTTCTTTTAACACGACGTTTTCATATACTTTTAATTGAACTTTATTTTAGTACTGTTTAATAAAGATGTGCTATCATTTACTTAGCACAACGTGTCAGAGAAACAATAACTAAGTATTTTAAACATTAGTCAACCCTAGTAGTCCTTACATGCTGTTTATTTATAATATACTGTGCTACTATTATTTATAATATACTGTTTTAAAGTTGCGAGTCGTTTTTTACTCTAACACGATTAAACTTTAGTAACTAATTTTCAAGCATTAGAGTGTGTTTATTTATAAATGTATGCTGATTAAGGAAAAATTTTAACGACCGAAAAATAAATTTAGGAATCTTCTTGTGGAGAACATCATTATTCTGAGGTCAACGTCTTCAGATTATCATCGTGGCTACCTACCCTTTTTTGCTTCTTAACATGTTGTTAAGTACATTTACAACAATTAGTAGTTTATTTTTATTCGTCTATTGGCCACGTTTTTACAAATAAATACTTATTTTGTATTCTTTTTTTAATAACTAATTACTATTAATATATGTATATTTTGTATTACTATAATAGTAGTTCGTCATTATGTAGGTGTCTATTCAAAGTTGCAATGGGAAACGCTCTTAAAGTTCATATAACTTATTAGAACTGGTTGTGGGATTTCTAGTATGGTATTATAGACCGTTACTATAGTAACATACTACGTAGATCAACACGTTCTCCTTCATATTGATAGCTTCAGTTATGTTGTAAGAAAAATTCCTGTTAATAAAATTATTACTATTGAAAAAAATATTTATTTATTCTTTTAGCATCATAAAATTAAACATTTTATTTTAATGACAAATAAATAAACAAAATGCGAAATAATGATATACTATAGCCTTGTTGTATAATTATAGCCAGAATGAAAGTTTAAATTCTTATAGATAGGGTAGCGTTTTTCATTGCTTTTTTACATGGTAGTCTGTCAAGGATAGTATCTTAAGTTATTCTAAAAAACTACTGAAGTAAAACTTCTTGGCTATATGAGAGAAAGAGATAAAGACATGTCTGGTCACACCTATCTTGCCCCTACAGTAATATACGAAACGTGACTCTCTCTTTTATCTTCATTAATTTTTATCTCACTTTTCGTAACGCTCCCGTCACGCATTCACCAGCTTACTCCCCAAGTCAAGCGTGCGTAAAGAAGTTTTACTTCAAAAATAACTACAATAAAACGAGCTTTTCACCAAAATATTAACCTCACAATGACATCCACGTTTATATTATGTTGCTATCTATCGCTTGGTGAAGTCCAGCGACCTGTTCTTTGTTTATTCGTTATGTTAATGTTGTTTGTTTTGCCTTACGTCTCGCGCGCGGCTAACGCTTTGGCTACAGAAGATTGTCGAGGCGTGCAACTCGATCAAGGTCAGTTCGGCGTAACGCATTCCGTTCGTCTGTGTGCTTGAGGGTGTTTATTGGTCGCTTGAAATTGTTTGAAATTGCAAAAGTGTAAAATTTTGTTTGTAGTTTAGGGTAGTTAGTTCTATATGGCAGTATCTTCTCCTCCACTGATAATAATTATCTGTAGTAGTTAAGTATGACAGCACTGACATGGACAGGTTTGATTTGATAAAAATGTGCTTTAATTAACCGCGCCAGGAAATTAATAAATTATAACTATTGTTTTTTGAAAATTCTAAAAGTAATTTAAATCCTCCAGAGTTACTGAATTCCATCGGTGACTGATATTTTTAAGATCGGGAGTAAATATTTAGGGCAAAGATATTTTGAAAATTGTAAATGTAAGGTGGCTAAATTTATTTGCTAGTTTAATATTGGAGTTGTAGACCTTGTTATTTTGTGTTCTATAATGATAATATGCTAATATACGATTTGACATACTATCAAACTTCATCATCTTATCCGGTCGATGTTTATTATGATTTTATAGTCCACGTTTTCTGAGACATGGCATAATAAATCTATTCTGAAATAGGTAGTAAGACGGTAGTCTTTGCAAAACCTGGTTACGGAGTATTCAAAACAATGTTGTCATATTTAGTTTCATTTTGGAATATCAATACTTTAGTGTTGCATGACAGGAGTTTGTGTAATCTCTCATTGTTTTTTGTGTTTCGTAAAATGTATTAGAAAACATTACAGTGACTGTATCAATGAGGAATTATGTTAACTATTGTATTCATTTTATTTAAGTTATTATCAAAACCGCGTACTGGAAATTAGCTATTGTGATAACTGTTGTGTTTGTTCTTATTTCTAGTAGAGATTTAGAGAAACGATTTGGATAGCCTCGGTTATTATTTATTTTAATACGAGTTACCCATTTCAAGTTGACCAGGAAGAGAGAGCAGAGACAACGCATAGACAATCATTTTTACTTAATTAAGACTCGACTACATTACAACAATAACATTGTCAACATTTTACAATAGTGCGTTTAATACTTAACGAACGTGTAGTAATTTTGGTTAATGTATTAATGAACTGTCGATGTGAGTGTGACCAATAACCGTTCTCTAGTACACAGATCGGTTAGTTTCGTACTGCTTCTTCTAGTTTCCATGCTTGCACTGCTTTCATTGTTTTCAACGCACTTTGCAATATTGTTTGTTTTATTCGTATTGTGCTTAAGTATATGTTTAATGTTTATATTTATAACAATAATATTTTTATCTTTTATACTCAATTCAATTGTGCCTTGGTGTAAATTCCATATGCAAGGTCATTTATAATTAGTTTATTGCTACAGGCGGGTTTTCCTGACTCTGGATTTTAGTTATAGAGTTAATTAAAGGTAGAATAACGATACTTATTTTAGTGGGTTATTTATCAATTCATTATTAGGTTTTTTTTATTTGAGTTGGTGTTAAACTATGGAGGTGCAATAACGCATTAAATCTTTTAAACTCTGTTTCTATGAAAATAGAGCCTATAACAGATCCTAAAAATTAAATCAAGCCATTTCTAGTTAGATATTATAGTTAGGTTTTTAGATAATTTCTAGTTGTATAAATGTGGTTGTAATTATAGAATGCAGTTACCGTGGTGTGTGGGGCACAGTTTGCACTGAACAAAAATTGTTTGTCGTGAGTTGTGGATTAAAATTGTAGATGTATGTTACAGAATAACATGTCTACCGATGGAAAGGAGGATTACTCAGACTTGCCACCTAACCAAAAGAAGAAGAAACTTCAGGCAAAGGTTATGGAGCTGAGCAAGCAGGTGAGTGTTATATCATCAAATTTCTTTACTTGATTGAATGATTGATGATTGAATGGGATTATAGTCGAATAAGTCAGGTTAAAATGTTCTGCATTATATAATATATCACTCCGAGTTCCATAACGTATCGTTCTGTAACTAAGTTCTAAGTTAAACTAACTAACTAAGTTACTTTTTTAAAAGCTTTATTACCATCCTGTTACTAGGCTCTTATCTCAAAAAGCATACTGCGCAAGAGTACGAACGCGAACTATATTTTAAATTCAAAACATGCGATGTATATTATCTCGTTTTGTCCCTCAGATTAGCTCCTAAAATCGAAAGTGAATATACAACTATCTTGAATTTTAATGTGATTTATATGACAACATTGGTTATGTAGCCTCTTAATATTTTACGTCAAGGTTTTCGAGCATTCAATAAAATTATTTAAACGATATAATAAACTGGTTTGACTCGAATTAGTTGAATATGTATGTGTTGAATATGAAATATGTCGAATATGAAAATACATGCTTTATGTGTTGAATAATTATTAAAATTGTAGGTGGCACAAGAGCAAGCTGCAATGGAAGGACTGATGAAAATGAAAGGAGTATATGAAACAAGCCCGGCGCTAGGAGACCCCATGACTGTAGAAGGTATTTTTTCAGAAAAATATGCAGTCATTGTCCGATAACATGTTAAGGAAAAGTATTATGTCGCGGGCAAGTCCCGTTAACTCACAAGCATAAAAAGGAGGAAAAACGTTCCTTAATGCATGCGATTATTTTATAGTGTCTTATAGCTTTATTCTTGCGTGGCATAGCCAGTAATATGATAGGTATAATCAGCTAAAGACATTACGCATATTAATAGCGTCATAAACATATTTTAGGTGATAGTTTCTAAGATACGAGGTAACTGTGTTTCCGTTACATTCAAACTATAGATTATTATTTTTAGAAATTCCCAAATTTATATAAGAAACTTGCGGTTTAGTGTTGGGTGCTAGTGTTCGTTATTGCTAGAACGCATTAAATACTATATTGAAAACGCCTAGCCTAGCCAAATATACATAGACTAATTACAAAAGTAAACTTATTTATTTTCTGCTTGAAGGACAAAACTAAAACTGTATCCCATGCAAATTTGTAACCCTACGGTTGGAGATAATATTGTCGTTGTTGACTATGCATATAATTTTTGTACATGCATTCTGTCGGATGTCGCGCTTTTGGTAATCTTTAGGAGGTTACCATTTAATGTTTTCTAAAAAATATTTTTTCAGATTATTACTTATGCGAGAGGTGGGTTAAGAATTTGCCATAAAAATCTTATTTTTCAGGTCAGTTAAACGAGTGCTGTGACAAGCTAAAGAAACTTCGCGCGCAGTTGAACAAGTTCGAAGAGCTGTTGGCCGAGGCCAACAGTCAGATTGGAGCGCCGCCGCTTCACACCGCCAGGACTAACGGACAACCACCGACGGGACATACCCAGGCCACTAGGTAAGCCTAATCTATTGACACCAAATGCTCGTACCTAACGTTCGATTTAGGGAACCGTATAACAGCAGCAAATATCTTTTCAGCATCGGCTCTAACAGCGAATCTCTTTCGCGGTCAGCCTCCGAGTCGTCAGTGAGCACGGGCACGGGCACGGGCGGCGCGGTGGCGCGCGTGGCCGGCGGCAGTCCCGAGTCCGGGCTCGGCGGGGAGCTCGCCGCTGCGGGACACGACCACGCTAACGGACACGACCACGACCCTGACAATGACCACGACAACGACCACGAATCTGATTTTGACTATTATTATTGTGAGCCAGACTTGCAACCCGTTGGATACTGCAAAGCGCTTTATGCATTTGAGGGTAAGATGCGCATACTAACTTTAAATCGTTTGCGTTCCTTGAAATATAGTAAGAGTGACGAGAATTATCGTAATAAATATCTCATACGTTTAAATGCCTTACATTTTGGCCAGGTATCACTGGCTGTGGTCACAGACGTATCGGCTCACTAGTTTGTATGCCAGCCAGTTAACCTGTTAGCACAGCCAGTGCGAAACGGAGTAGAGATATTTATTTGTATTTGGTATTTTTTTGTCAAAAGTTCCATTGGGTACTTATCGTTTAAATTGTATATTATATATTTGATTTAGAAATATATTTCCACATCATCGAGTAGTCCCGCAGTAACTTAATAAATCAATAACAATAAAAAGGTGTACTGTGACTATTATGCAAACAATATTAATTAAAAATAAATGAACAGGGATTGGCAGTGGGTCCACCATGAAAATGGAGTGCGGCGAACAGCTGCTGGTGCTGGAGACGGACGCGGGCGACGGCTGGACGCGCGTGCGCCGCAAGCGCACGCACGAGGAGGGGTTCGTGCCCACTACATACATCGCTACCACGCTCTACACCGATGCGAATTCACACTAGCCGGTATCTATTACCTCTATCATTTATCTCATTCCACTCTGAATATACATAAGATCGTAGAAATATGACAACTTTTGTCAACTAATCAAGTACAACCACCTTGTTGGTTTCCGCCCATACATAATACATTTATGTGAATTATAGAATGTACGACGAGGAACGGATGTATTTAACTGTTGGTTATGTTCGGAAAAAAAACTGCAGGCACGTCGATGGATCTATAGTTCTTGTGTAGATGCATTTTTTTCTGATATTAACTACCAGCTATTATAATCAACTATTATGAGCGTAATATATTGATAATTTCAACATACATAAGAAAATTTACACCATGATTTAGACTTCTTAACATCTAATTATTAAAACATCTATTAAATTATTTCCAGATTACAGAATAAAATTTAAAATAATACCCTCACTTCCATTCTGTAAGTTAAAATGCTATATGCTGTATGTTTTATTTATTGTTAAATTGGTAATGGAATAATATTAATACATTGTCATAGTTGTAAATATACATACATACATAGGTACATAATTAATTATAAAACTGAAGGGACAAATTTATAAAACTATTATCAGACCTGCCGTACTGTATGGTTCTGAAAGTTGGCCCATTAAGAGAACGGATGAGAGACGCCTGAACGTAGCCGAAATGCGAATGCTGAGATGGATGTGTGGTGTGACTCAGATGGACAAGGTTAGGAATGAGTATATACGAGGGAGTCTGAAAGTAGCGCCACTGGATGAAAAGTTAAGAAGTAATAGGTTATCTTGGTATGGACATGTCATGCGGAGGGATTAGGAAAATGTGGCGAAGAAAGTTTTAGGTATGAGAGTTGAAGGGTATAAGAGAAGAGGCAGACCGAAGAAAAGGTGGATGGACTGCGTGAGGGAGGATATGGCTAGCAAGGGAGTAAACAGTGAGATGACGCATGACAGAGTAGAATGGAAAAATCATACATACTGCGCCGACCCCAAATAAAATTGGGAAAAGGGTAGGCAGATGATGATGACATAGGTACATAATTGCCGTGTTAAGCACACATGTGTAAGGAAAAGGTAAATTGATACTGAAACCGATAATATTACAATTACTTTTCTGAAAGAGCCTTTTAAAAGTGAATATAAATCATACACGTTGTGTAATTCTAGTAAGTTTTTGGCACTATAATTTTAAGAGACATACAAGTGTTTTTTTTTAATTTCTAGATTCAACGATCAACGTTGGAGCTTGCTTCGCCAAGCTAACGGTGCGGTACGTGCATGCAAGACGAAAGGCTGATTTGAGAGTCACGCATGCATTCATTGAAACGTTTCGTGGCCTATATATAGTAATAATATTTTTGCTATAATTTATCGTATCGAAAATGTTCGCATTATTTTTTTATTGTGCTCTTTCTATTCCGATTGTTGTCGAGGCGAAGGCCATCGGCAGACAAGAGAGGAAACATTCCATGATCTTATTTATTGTGTATATTGTTGGTTATGTCCCATACATATTTTCATGTATGAACTATACCGTAATAGAGTAATGTTTAATTGTAATGTGGTGTAACTCATCTAGATCTTCATTGTGCCAGCTGTTTACGTAATAAGTTTATATTTCGTACTTATGATAGTTGTAATCTTGCTTTTATGTTATTTGCCATTGAGTATTTTGAAATTATAGCAAAAATAGATAGATGTAGGTGTTATAAAGATGTGTAAAATATGTAAACTTAGATATAACTGAATGCTATCGACATATTATGATTATGATAATACATGCAATATGGATTCCTGTGTTAACAGTCAAATGCGATGTATTGTATAATACGTACTCTAATGGAATTTTATATAAGATATTATCTAATAAAGCTAGCTAAAAGTCACGATTAGCCAATGTTATTTTTCTGAAAATACGCTGTTTGCGGGAACGTATATAAAGTTCATGTATTTATATTTAGGCGAGATGATGTATGAGAGTGAAGCATACAATTTTTCTACAAATATAAAATTATGCGACGACTACATGATGCTTTTGATTTCTCCCAAAAAACCCTATTAGTTAACATCAAATAAACATCAAGTCATATTGTACAGTCACGAGCAATATAAATGTATACATGTGAGAATTTTAAATTCATGTTTACACAAAATATTTTAAAGACAAATAATCACTAAAACTATACATACTATTTAACCATCAGAGTACTTCACATTGATGTTCATATTTTTGTCAAAAATATTTACATAAATAGTTTTTAGACATTTGCACACACTTTCACATGCAAAGTTATGAAGCTATTATGAAGTACAATAATAAGTCTGCGATATAATTTTCCGAAAATGTAAACTACAACTTTATTATAATGTAAACAATTACGCCTGTGACTTATCATTCATATGTGTAACTTATAAAACTGTAGCAATTTTCACTAGTATTACAAATGAGTATCAATTTTTATAAACATGTACACAATGTAGTTGGCAATATAACGGTGCTAATTCTGTTGTTCGAAAACTCGCTGAGCTAAACTAAGAATCACAGAAAAATTGTTAAGTCCTGTCAAACAACGTTTCGTATTCTGAACTCGTAAGACAACTTAGTCTAAGATCCCGCTGTATAACCTTCACCTAGGTGGTTAATGGATGAAAAGTATTTTATATTCAATTAAATATGTCAATAAATATATTACAAATGGGTTGTCTAAAAGATTTCCGTCCAGAATTAACAATCCGATTAATTATCTTTTTTTTTTAAAGATTTTACTGGTTTGATTAATAGACAAATTCCATAAAAATCGAAGGTATGAAGCCCATAGAATATCCAAATATTTTTTTCTTGTCACAACAACTGGGTAGGCAGGTACATATAGTCAGGTAAATCGATACTAGTAACTTGCACCGGTCTGGTTAATGAATTAAAGTTAAATTAAAAGAAAGATTATTTCATTACGAACACGGTGGTATAGGGTTGTCTGCGAAAATTCAGTCCTGAATCCCGGTTGTCGAATTTAAAAAAGTGAAATATTGCTGCGAGTGAATACGTGCGACAGAGAGGTCCCAGCAAACCAACCGCAGTTATCAGGCTGAAGTTTCACGCATACCGGATCCGTTGAATTTAGCCACATGGGATGGAATTAGTTCAAGTTTCTTAATTTAGTCCTTAATTGTTATTTGTTATTCTGTTGTACTGTACTTACGGTTGTACAGTGTGCTCTTTACTGAGAAACTATAACAGTTTCAGGTTTGGCTTTCACATCGTTATGCGATCATGCGCGTAAGGACTCTGGCGGAGGAAGCAGTTTTCTGGGGCGAAGTGATGTTGGCGGTGCCCTTGGACATCGCCAACGCGTTCAACACTTTGCCTTGGAGTCATCAGGGAGGCGCTCGTGTATCACGAAGTACCTCTCTACCTCCGCCGCATAGTCGCAGAGCGACCTCCGTCCTCGATTAGCGCAAGCCTGAGGGTGACAGGTAAGGCCATCTGTCACTCTAGCAGAAGCAGGCCGGGGTGGGTGGTTGCGCGATGCGCTACGGAGTGCGCGCGCCCTTCGGAGCGCGCACGCCCTTCGGGGGCAGGAAGGGGACATCCGGGTTCCCACACAGGACGGGTCATCTATAAGCCGTAGATGGCCCGAGGTACGTCGGGGTACCAGGGTATTCCTTTCTAGGGTATACCTGGTTCCCCGGCTACTGGTACCTGAAGACAGCGTGCGGTTTTGGTCGAGTCCGACATAATAACCCACCACCCACCAGTGGGTAGTGGGTATCCGAGAGGAGTTCAAAAAACATAGAACAAAAAAAAATATTAATTTGAATTTTATTGTAGGTATTACTGACGCCTTATGTCGAAAATTATGAAACTATATATTATATACATTAATATGGAGAAAAGAAGAAGTGTTCTGAACAAAGTCGGCAGTTAACACCAGACGAAGCTTTAGCTTATTATGTGGACTCGAAATCGACTTCTCACGCATATAAACAAACAAGAAAGTGGTCAATGAAAGCGGGCAATCGAGTGTATCCATGGCTTTATAGTTTAGGTAAGTCTAAAGCTTCTTGTCCTTCTGACAAATATATTTCTGTGACTGAATTTCGATTTGAAATTAAACTTCAGGCGATTTTGGATAAAACGGCTGAACGATTGGTTAAAGTTCAGACGGAAGTCATTAGAAGTGTGTTACCTCGTTCATATTATACGTTGGGAAGCAAATCGGGCTGTGATGAGAGTTTGAGGCATAGCACGTATAAGCAGAAATTTGAGAACACTAATGCTACAGACGAATTTTTGTTCGTATACTCATTTATTTTAAAACTTCGTTATTTTAAAAAAGCTGAAAGTTTTTCTGTGCATGTCCCCTATACAGGTAAGAACGACCAGCGACTATAGAGTTTGGGTTATGGTTACTTGGGCAGGTAACAGGTAGTAAAGGTGTATAAAATAGTACCTTAAATTCGTTAAAGTATACAGCAAAATTTTTTTATATTGTCTCAGGGATAACTTTAGAAATCTTGTCATCAATTGCCGGTCACTTATGACAGTTGCTATCCCCTGCCAGACACCCCTGAACTTTAATAAAGTTTTATAGTTTTAAATAAGTTTTTATAATATGCACGGTGACTTTTTAGGCTTTTTGGAAACGAAACATTTTAATTTGGAATCATCTATAGTACCAATAAAAATGATTAAATCAATTGTAATGTTGTCTAAAAAAAAGTTTCAGTTTTAATATTCATTTTTACTCGATCGACTTGGAAAGTAGTAATGGACTGATCATTCATTCATTATCTCATATGAATGAAACACGTCCGTGGGCGTTTCGGTGGCCGCTGCGCACCGCTGACGCTAACAGCAGCTGATAAAAATATACCTATAGGCGCGAGCTAGCGAGTACTTACGAAGATAGACTCCAATTTGTCCTTCATACTTTACACGGACTTAGGACCGTCGGAAATACCTATTTTATTTAAACTTCTTTTCGATTATTAAACACGATTGTTATTTTCAC